TATATATATATATATATTACCAAACAATACAATGGTTTGGCTCTACTCTACTATGAGAGTGAATGAGAATTGAGTTTATACACAAGCGAGAATATCTGCATGTGAGAGGAGAAATGTAAAAGTGACAACTGATGTATGTGAAACAATAACTCTTCCCCTCATTATTATGCCTGGTTTTGTTTTCTTCAGCTGTTGGAGGGAACAAGTGATGCTTTCTTGTGATGGAAAAGAAAAGAACGGGAATGAGAAAGGCCACAAGCAGACAGAGGAAGACGAAGAGCTCAGGTTTAAAGAACCCAAGATTTTACAGTACACTGAGGTGAGACAGTTGGAGAGGAAGTTGTTATTCTTTGCTTTCTTTATTTTCTTTAGTTTTAAAATCAGTCACCAAAATCAGCATTATGCTGGGACCAGCATGTTTTGGACAGTTCTTCAAATCTATGAGATCAGATGACCCCTGTGACCCCTTCCTGTACTTTCTGATTTTTTATTTTTTTTTGTCAATTATAAACAATGGGCATTATTTTGTGAGGAAATGACATAAACTGTGAAATATTTTTAATATTTAGCTCCATATATTAAAGCCTAACATATAGAAAAATAGTTTAAAAGTTGTTTATGGTCTGTGTCTGTATTCTTTAATAATAAATGTTGTCTGGCGGCAGTGTATTTATTTTTGGGGTGTGCATGATCCATGGTCTATCTTCCATCATTTATCAGTGTAAATGTAGAGTCAGGGTGAGTCTATCAGTATTGATCCCACCAATCCCAAGAAAGATACAGGATAATATCTTTTTAGTAAAAAAATATGTGGCAGGAGCAGATGCAAAACTAAAGATCAAACTTTTCATGCTGTGTGGTCTTGTGCTGTGTGTGCCATGCTTTTTTGCGTCCTGAGAGAGAAGTATGGACAAGGTTTGGCATTGTTTAAATGTCACATTTAATGTTTTCACCATTATTTTCCAGATGAAACCTTTTGTGTAAGACCTACCTAGTCCTTAACTTTGATTTACAGTGCTTGAACGCACAGTTTGACAGATACGTCATGTACTGTATATACTGAAAGTTTTATTCAAATTACAATGCATCTGATTAAAACATCAAATATACAAACATTGTTTAGGACAACAAATTATATGAATCCAAATAGTTCAGTAGTTGCTGAGTTGTGGTTAGTCTCTCACATAAACATTGTCAGTTATTACTTTACAATTTTCCAAAATGAGCATCATGTGATTCAAGTACTTCATTCCAACACAAAATAAAACATATAGGAAACTACTATATCCACACAAAGAGTTCATACAGGCGATGGGGAGGGAGAGTGACGGCTTGTACCACTGCCAGCTGTTCATTCCTGAGAAAATTCCCCATTCAGTTTCCAATCGACACCCACAGCACGTCTCTTTTCTATTGTCTTGTTTTATTCAGGATACTCGTTGTTGAATTGGTAAGTGATAATGCGATAAAGAACACACAGTGTCATAATGGGTTGGAGTGGATTATGTGGATTATAACTATGGCCATGTGACTGGAATCAAATTATGAGCCCTATAGCAAAGACTGGGTAGAGCGAAACTATATTAACTATACTTACTTTCAGGTTATTTCCTACTTTTGACCAGTATTACAGTAGCTGCACTGAAACTTCAGAAAACTTATAGAGTATGGAGAGTATATAGGAAAACACCATTAACATTTTGACAACATATATGTCAAATAAAAAATAAAACAAGAAAATGAAACACATTTAGCAATTTGACAACCCATAGGTCGCATAAAGAAACACAAGCAAATAGAGAAATACCAAAACTCATATGCAACATAACTATGTTACGTCACAGACGTTTCCAGGAGACACTAAAACTGATGAGCAGTAACAGTAACAGCAGTAAATAGACCCATTCTAGCAGAAAAACGTTCTACTTTGCTCCGTGCAAGGTTAAATTTGAAGGCTTGGTTTCAATGTGATCAGGATTTATTATTGTATCGTTACACTGGGAAACAGTCCTTATCGATATCTCTGTCATCTTTAATCACAGCAGCAGATGTTAGTTGCATTCAAAAAGGAGCAACTAAGCTCGAACTGTTTTGAACTGTGCAAAGCCGGTACATCAGGAACACACCATTTGCAAAATAATACAGAAAAAGGACACAGGAGCAAAAGCTGTTTTTCCACAATAATGTGAATATGCTTTATGCTATCAGAATCAGCCAATGAAAATGTTAAATAAACATTTCAACTCCTGTACAGACATCACTGAATAGTTGATGCATTTGTTGGTTTTCAGTGTCACTTGGAAATTTGTTAGTTTACACTTGTAAGACTATTTATATTTCTGTATCTGCAGTGTTTCTTTGTGCTGCATGTGTGGTTTCAAACTGGCAAATATGTATCTTAGTTGCTTGTGTTTTTTTTGTTTTGTTTTTCTAATGCTGCAATGTGTTGAAGATGTTTTCTTTATTCACTGTACAGTATGCTAATAGCTAACATGTTCCAATGCCATTTTTTCCATCCCGATTGCTGAACCTTTGTATAGTCTGGCTCAGGTTTAACCCTCAGTTAGAGTCAGAATAGGGCAGATTATGACTCCCCTATCCTGGGGAAAAAAAGGTCGAACTGGACACTGCTGGGAGTAGCAGGGTCCCGTTTTGGGGCTAATAAATTACATGGTTTCGGATCTGTGCAAGGATGCGTACTCGCCAATACCAGATACCGCATTTAAGACAGTATCGGAGAAAATTCTGATACTGGTATCGGAGCAATTCTACAAACAAGAGGAAGCATGCAGCCAATCAGAACTGTGTACACATGTGGTAACAAATGTATCTACTTCTAAAGGCTGTTATCTTCTGATAGCCGGTTCCATATCGGATCCGGTTGTCGTTATATCCGAAACCACTTATGAATCTCTTGCTGAACTTTTATCTCTCCTTTACCATTTTACATACCAATATTCTTATTAAATATTTGCCATTTAGTTATTTATAACTTTATTTATCTGCAAAATGAAAAGTCAAATCTAAACTCAATTCAGTGATGGACTGGAGAGGATTCGGATTCAATACTGGATTCTGATTTGATTAAATGCTATTAAACCCCAACAATATATAGTATAGCCTGCAAAAACAACACCAAAACACTGGTCTAATTATCAGCAGCCTAAAAGGAAGAAGACAGCATGTTAAGTGAAACTTTAAAAATCAACTTTTTTATCAAATGGAGTCATTGATACTGAGCTTTGAACACAGCTACTGTGGTGGAAGTAGTGACTCTCCCTCCCCATATGGTCCTATCCTATCAAAGAGTGAAAAATTGACTAACAGTCAGGGAACCCTTGGCTATTGGTAGGACTTTGTAATACAAAACATTTGATGATTCAAAATTCCAGGTGAATGCTTTGCACAGGTCTGAAGGAGGGGGGAGGGGAGGCAGTATATTTTATCATGTAAGTATAAAAGCTTGAATAGACATTCAAGTGTTTTCAATTCATCCCCACGTGCAATCAGAACTGCGTGGGGGTAAACAAAGCCAAGTAATTGAGCTCAAGAGGTAGAGACCAACACGGTGAATCGTTTATATACATATTCACACAGTGCTGCTGTGACGAAATAATTAACAACAATAACAAAAAAGGCTTCTCCTTTAGATATATCTACAACTCTGCTGTACACACAAGATACAGTTAACATGACTGTGAATCGTTATAGGATTTGTTGTCCTCTACAGATCCTAGTTGTAGGTTAAAAATCAAGAAAATATATACATTTGTATGCAAGTTTTAAAAATAATATTAACTTCACAGCCTTAGAAATGTGCAGGCTAATACAATTTCTATACAGTGGTGTTGTTTTTTTAGGTTGGTGTGTAGATTTGCTTCTCTATTTAACATATATACATAATCATACTTTGAGGTGTGAGAAGAATGCATGCCATAGGACACAGAATAGGAATAGAAAACAATTCTAAAAATATATTAAATAATTTACTTCAAAGCTCTTTTTTTCTGAAGACAGTGTACAATGTATGAGCAGGAGCAGGGACACACTTGCACTAGCACTGGATTACCATTGAGAAAAAGCCATATATGAGACTGTCATCATTTAGAAACCATTCATATGCTACTTGTTTCTGTCCCATGGTGATCTGCTTGAATGCAATCCGTGACGAAGAAGTAGTTCATATGTATGTGGCGATATATTCAAGTAGACAGAACAAAGTAGTAACACCCTTAAAGAATGATATTGCTGGTTTAACTGCTTCTTTCTTTTGATATTTGTTCACGATGACAGTTTCCCATTCGTCCTTATAGTCCAGAGAAGAACAAGCAGAACAGGCCTCCTGTTTTTACAAAGGCTTCAGAGGGAAGACTGGATCTCGCCTGCAGTAAGCTACCACAGCCACATTCTTTCTCTAAGGTTCTATAGTGTTTCTAAGCAGTGCATGAAATGGGCCAATACTCACCAGTACTGAGTATCAGTACTTCAGATTTTTGTCCACAAGTACTATTACTTGTTACTGAGTACCACCTGTGGGGGAGAATGGCCCACCACTGAGGTGGCTGAGGCCCTTGGTAGAAGGGGTAGACGATAAAAGTTGTTAAATAATTGCTTAAAAATAACCACTTTGATGCTTTGAGGCTTACCACCCAAAGCCTCCTATCAACTTCAGTTTTTGGACCTCAGTATTTCTAAACCCTGCATACAGCAATGCTGGTGAGGTATTATATTATATTATTTTTTTCATACTGTTCTTATACTGTTTTTTTTTCTCTATCCACTTTGCTGCTGTAAGATTGGAATTTCCCCATTGTGGGACTATTAAAGAAATATCTTATCTTACTCCTACATGCCCACTTAGACAGCACTGGATACTTTTTTTAGAATTTAAAAACGTCAAAAGAATTACAGTTAGGGTTATGCTGTGTTTGTGGTTAGGGTTGTGCTGCATTAGGGTACGGACAACATTTTTGGTCCATTTCAGGCACTGCTTCTAAGGAGTTCTTTACAATCTGGGTCTGATTCTCAGCGTGTTGGACATCATCCTTATCCATTATGAGAACAGCTCTAACCTCAGCTTTACAACCAATAGGACAAACAACAAGAATACCGAGACAATCACTTCGAAAGAACTATGTACAAACATATTTCAGATAAGACCTGGTGTAATCCTCTTCAGTTTGTCTAAACATACTAGTCAAAAACTGTACATTGACTTCATTTGGATTGTGTGGATTCAGACCTTGATCCCACGTACGACTGTTGTTGACATGCCCCTGCTACTCTCCACCAAATGTTTTAGTTCAAAATGAAATGGAAATGGAGTATCAGTAGAGCAATGTGCATTCATTGGACTGGAGTAGTTTGGTCATTGTGTCAAGATGTCCAATTCAAGAAGATTTGGTGTTCCATCAAAAACACCAAAAAAATCTATGCTACATGGCAATCAGAACTCATAATGTACTTGTTGTCTTTCTTGCAATATTGAACATATTTATTGGCTATTGTGTGTAAAAGGGATCTTATATGGTCTGTAGACTCAAAAAATTCAAAAAAGGAAAAATAGCAGTTATGTGGTAAATAAATTCATCTTAAAACCACTGGCCAACATGACAAGCCACAAACTGTTGAGCAAAATGTTCTCATAAACAACAGGAAGGATGGTCCAACGGCACAAAGCCCGTTCTCATTCCCACAGTGTCAAATACCAATGTTTTGTCATGGCCCTTTGGTGTCTCATACAGACGCACAAGGTACCCTTTAGCATCGGTTCGAGATGCACCAGGCTTTCATTACTCCAGTATAACCCATCTGTTACAGGTGACGTAGTATTAAGAGTGATAAAAGCCCTATTCGCATGGGACTAGTATGATCATGGGACCTTATATGATATGAGATAATTGCAGAGGTCGTCTGTGGTCTTAATCCTGTGCCAATCTGTCATGTCCGTAATTTGTTAAGTAATTCCACTGCAAATGAACTATATTTCACCAAACACAGAGGTCCCGTGCTAATATTAGT